TGACGGCCGTCTTGGTTTAGACATAGCTCTACACGTCGTTCAAATGTGGTGTTAACATTATTCAGAATATCAATGTTGATATTTTGAAAAACTCGTCGAATTCGGTTTTTCATATCCTCTTTAGTAGTAGGGAGAGTTTGATATACCCGATCTCTTACATATCCCCACAGAAAATAGTCCATTTTTGTCAGATCAGGCGACCTAATCAGGTCAACTAATTGGTCCACCTCTTCCAACCCACTTCTCTGGAAATTCATTGTATAAGAATCTACGAACTTCCTGCGTGTGGTGTACAGGGGCTCCATCATGTAAATACCACATCCTCTGACGAATATTTAGAGGTATATTTTCTAATAAATTTTCCATAGTAGGTATTTTGTAGAAAATGAAGATATAGTTGCCCTGTTAAATGTTCGTCGAAAAAATAAGGCCAAATAACGTAATGTCCAATAATCCCGCCCCAAACAATGAGTGACCACCGGATTTGACTATGTGTCCTTATAAGCAACGAATTTTCAGAAGCATTATAATGAAAATTGTGTCTGTTCACGCTTCCATTTTTGTGAAACGTTGCCTCATCAGTAAAAAACACACAATTAAAAAAAAAGCCTATCTTCATTCATTTTTCTCTGAGCCCAATTACAAAATTCCAAGCGACTTTCATAGTCGTGGTTATTAAATTCTTGGTAAAACTGGATATGATATGGATGCATCCTGTGCTTCTTTAAAATCCGCCTTACCGATGTCCTGCTTATATCTGTTTGCCTTGAAATTGCTCTAGTGCCTATATGCGGATCTTCAGTAACACTTAACAGAACATTTAGTTCATCATCATGTTTTTCATAAGAAACATTGCCAGTAGTATCAAAACGTACCATTAATTTTTCAAAGGTATTTGCACGTGGTTGTCTTCTATCTGGATATCTCTGATTATAAATTCTTGTTGCGAGTAAACAATTTCTATCAGCAGCTCTCAATAAATAAATCATATCCACCATTTCTTCTTTAGAAAAATTCATTGTAATATAAAATTGTTTTATGAATACCAACTAATAAATAACTAATAGATACCAATAAACTAATAAAATGAACGCAAAATGGAATGGTAAATTATGAACTGTCAAGTTGACACAATGTGACAGTTTTTTCCAAAGCCATCTCGTGCGACCGAAAATAATAAAAATTAAGTATTTTCAGAAATGTTGCCATATCTTAAAAACCAACAATTTTAGGTATAGAACATACTTAATAAAAGTTGAAGTGGAGTGATATGCGAATAAAATAAAACAATAAAATATAGGGTGTTCCATTTGAAAAATTTTAGAAAATCAAGTTTGAACTTTCTAAAAACTATCGTCTTACAAAAAAATGCCCTGTATAAAATATCGATATTAGCTAACATAGGAGCCTTTGTATAACATTTGTCTATAACTCTGTCAAATATTTTTGCTCCAAGTGTTAGTAGTTGAAAGTTAATACAACTTCTTCGAGATCATGTTTTTTCCAAAATTCTAAGAATTTTCTACATAACTTGGCAACCCCGCACTGAAATGATAAACTGTTTATATTGCCATATATAGAATTTCCTCAGAAATCCAACTGTTTAAAAATATACAGGGTGTTCCATTTAAAAAATGTAATGTTTGGCGTGTCACGTTTTTACTCATCGCCCTGTATGTTTGAAATTAATTTTGCAGTTTAGGTTTCTTGATTCTGTACAACTATTATATAAATTTTTTTTCTGTATTATAAGTAACAAGGGAGTTAGTATACTTTCTCACACTAATGGCCCACCCTGTATATTATACTACTAAACTGATGTGTGTGTACTGCAATAATTTGTCGCACATAAATATCTTTCATTATGTTAAAAATGCGCATGAAAAATATTTTATGTGATGTCGTTCGATCATGACTCATGATGGGGCCTTAATACCTAAATTCACCCCGTAAATTTTATTAGTTCAGCGACATATTAGTTCAACTTGTAACCATTTTTGTGTTGTACTTGGTGATGGCTGGGAACTGTAAATCAGGATATGAGTTTGAGCGCTTCGTGAGTATACTACTAACACTAACTCCAGCACATATACATTTTACGTTACTTGTTCTGTGAATTAGTATTAACACCAACGCAGTGAAGTGACCTACATATATAGTTCAGTTAAATGAAAAAATCCACACCGTTTTAAAACATTTTTTTGAAATTGGTAAGAAAAATCAAGTACCTACCTGCCTATTATAATTTCCATTTTGTAGTCGACTGACATATTGATACTCTGATTATTTATAGTAAACCAGTATTATACATAAATAAACATTCTTATATTGCTCAATGTAAAATTCTTAATTCTGAAAAATTTGTTATAATTCGGAACAATGAGATATCCCACGGATGTCCGAAAGATAATCTATATCTGCCATAATATTTAGACATCTTCAGATAATGACAACATATAGACCAAAGCAGATACTTATCGAACGTTTTTTTGACTAAACATAACTAGAACCATCATACATTCCTGAGAGCCTGAGACATAAAGGTATATCCCACCAGATATCGTAAATATATTTTTAGAACAGGTTTGTGCTATTTGGGATATAACGTTTCATCAAATTCAAGCATTGCGAGGCCCAGCTTCAATCGAGGCACTAATAGAATCTTTTAGTGTGACCTCACATATTTAGGCAATCTGCAACAAATTGTCATAGTTGAAATTGTACAGACAGAGTCTGATCCTTGCGATCTATTTAAATAGATATTATAAAAATGAATAACATCAAATTAATTTATTGTTACAAGGATTTTGAAGTAATTAAGAACAACCGACATGTGTTTCGTAAAATAGATACACTAATGTGCTTAACACTTACAAAAAACGATATAAAAGAATATTCCTAAATTTAAATAAAGTAAAAATTTAACATTAGCCGTGTTATTCCTAATGCTCATGGTCGGAAAGAATAGCCTCATAAGGTGAGCTCTTGTTGATATGTTAGCGCTGTCATCATTAGCGTATATTCTCTTGTTTTGTTTAATCTTGGCATTTTATAGTTCTCTCTAAGTATTTTTATTGTTTTTCTTTGTGTTGTACTGTGTCAGTTTGTTTATCGAGTGTTTTTTCTTTAAGTGGTTTCTTATAGACGTACTCTTAACCATAACCAAACTTTCCTTCAATGATTTCCTGTTGCGAGGCTACTTGCTTACATGAAATTATTTTTAATGCGCATGCTCAGTAACATTGATATTATTTTAATTTATAATTTAATATGTATTATTTAAATATATAAATTATCTAATTCTATTAGTTTGTCACTTAGGGTTTGAAACTTTTTAAATATTTCTAATATTGCCAGAATATCGCAATATTTAAGGTCATGACAAAAAATAAATTTTTTTGGCACATGTCTAAAGTACATAAGCTCGAAAACCGATCTAGTAAAAATATTGAGAAATTCTTCATGACAATGTGCACTATGGTGTTGCCTATTATTTGGCGTATGTGACGTCATGCGTCACTACTAAAAAGGTCTATTTCCATATCACAACTTGTTCGTTACAGTAAAATGGTTGTGAAAAAATTGCTGCTGCATAAATGTCGGGATTGCATTTGCCAGTTAGGAAAAACATTTTTAACTGAAGTTTGATGAACTGCATTTTTTTATCAAAAAGAGACACGTTGAAAAAAAGTTAATATCGAATTTCTATTTTTTTCAAACGGCCAAATAAAAAATCAAAATATAGGTGTCCGACCCTGAGACCTCCAAAAGAATTGCACATATATTTGTCATGTCAAAAAACATAATAGTGCCAATTTTTTGTTCATACTCGGACAGTTTTGGAAATTATTGAGGAATTTCAAAATAAATTTCGCAGACACCCTGTATATTGTATTATGGTCAATCATAATATTTATATTACATTATTGTATGAGCAGAAATTATATGAGCCGTTGTTGTTTAGAGTGCCCTGGCTGAGGTTCTTTGCAGGTGGCTGGTCCTGATACAAGTTCGGGTTGTTCTATCGTCAGCGCCTGAGCTTGTTCATCTGGAAAATAAAAGGGGTGATGTGAAAACAAATACCAGTGATTACAAAATACAGAAATCGATCGACAAAACTGTATCAAACCATTGTATTGTTCCTTGCACGGTGCACGCGATGAGTGGTTGTGGCCTTCATTGCTCTCCGATCTGCACATCCTGTGAAGGGCTGTGTGAAAATATCGAGCCCCCGGAAGACAGCATTGACATAAACGAAGACGAGACCGAAGAAAGAGACCAAGACCAGACTGAAGAAAGACGCAGATGCGAAAGGTATTAATCTCCTAATCTATTTCGTATCATTCATCTCTCGTTGAGATATGATTATTGGTACTTGTTTTCTCACCACCTCTTTTATTTTCCAGATGAGCAAGCCCAGGCGCTGACGATAGAACAACCCGAACCTGTATCAGGACCGGCCACCTTCGAAGAACCCCAGCCAATAATAGAATAAACAATAATATAACATACAGTATTACGTTATGTAACATAATATTTTTTCAATATTTTTCCTTGGAATTTCAACTTTTTTGCAACTGAATTTGTACAATTTCGGATTTGAAATAACTTACACCTTGTGTAATTGTTGAAAACAATTACCTATACCTTTAATTATACATTTAAATTTGACATGTGCAGAGAACTGGTAAGAATTCATTAACTGACAGTCTTTAATAACAAATTAGAGTTTTGGTGTGGAAAAAGTGGGTTTTTGAACGGTTCGTCGGCGAAAAAACCAGAATGAAATTTGTAGGCAATTTTATGTACTTTCATTTTCAATAGGGTGGTATTTACGAAAAGTTTATAGTGTTCAAGTTTTCCAGATAAAAATACAAGTTGACTTGTTGCCAACAGTTACCATTTAGTCCAACAACTGAAGCCAAGTCCACTTGGAACAGTAATTCTTTTTTTATTTTATATCACCGAATATTAATAGTATGAACGTACCGTTTCGGTATTAGTCAAGTGTGGGTAAAATTGCAATATTCGAATGTTATTTTTAGTGCTTTATTACCATGGTGCATAATTACAATATGGGTAATCACTAATTGGGGAAATACGGTGAAAGTAGACGAAATGCTGCAGACGGAATGAAAGGATGCGAGGCGTTTTCTGCTTTGCAATGCACGAAACAAAATGCTGCAGGATTTGTAATATTAGTTCAAAATGGCATGTGATCAGTGATCAGTTACAGCTACAGGAGGCAACATGGAACAACTACTGTGAGAATACTATGTGTCATTTCTTCTCGATTCTAGCGGTTCTCGATATATTCACATTTCTATATTAAGGTTAATATTTACATTTTTTTTTTATTTTTGCGTGTGCCATATAAAGTTTATTTAAAGACGATATAATTACTTTAAAGAATGGGAATGAGGTTTAGATAAGATGTGATGCGTCGCTTATCAGTTAGTGTATATTGACTGTAGAATGAATGTCAAACAAATACAGAGCCTTCAAAAATGATTTCAAACCACGTGACCGTCGAGCTTAGGCAACCAACATTGCATTATTGACTAGTACTGTCAACCAAGAATCCTTAAATCTTTGCGTTATTAATATTAATGATCCATTGACAGTGACCAACGACAAACCGTTGAGTCTATGCTCGAGATAATGCGATTGCCGAATGGTTGAATAAAATGTCGTGAGAAATTACACCAATCTCCAGCTGATAAAACAGAACGTTGGTTTTAAGGTAACCTTAATCTTATTACTTTAGCAAGTGTTAACTTCACCATAATTTAGTTGCTAACCCGAAGGAAATAAAATTACTGTTCCAGACAAAATTACTGATTACGTGGCTTATAATCATTTATGAAGGCCCCGTTTGTTCTCAGTTGCTTTAGAAAACAATATTATTTCCACTTAAACAATTAAGTCTCGATATTGACGTTGAAGTTACATCAAATAAATTCAATGAAGTTAAACAATGTTTTTCGAAAAATATCTAACCTGTACGGGAAGCATACACTAAGAAAAATTGGACTTATTTTCACCCAGTTTCACTCAATAATGTATCAATTTCTGTCCACACTCGATTAAGTGAAATTTTCCTCTATTAGTATGAGTACAACTAAAATTTTTTGAATGAAACTATCACTATTAGTTCAAATATTATTAAAAAATTATCAAAATGCCCAATACTGTCTGAAAATGTACTCAATAATTTCACTCGATGGATTCACTTCGTAGCTTTTTGTTTCCACTCGGACCGATTTATTTACAGTGTACAAAAATCTTGTTTTTTCGCACATCAATAAAGTTTTTTGACAATGGAACTTCTTAAAACATGGATCAGGGCAATCCTATTTGATTTTCGTTGTCATCCAGACACAATGGAACATACGTACCGTCATTTGCCTTTTCTTTTTATTGTCTATAACATTCTCTGCAGGGAATTGTTTTCATAACTATTTTAGGGAAATGAAGTTGTTCTGTACTAGTTTTTTTCTTATTCGGTGTTTTATTTGGTGCATCTTGTTTCGCTGATTTTATTTCTCGCCTCCAGGTATGTTAGTTTTTTTGTATTGCCAGCTTTGACATGAAAAATGAAAAAAGACTTTCATATATCATCGTACAGATTTTCTGGGAGTCACGTAGTATGAAATATATTTTGATTATATTATAGAATAATCTGCGGCTTTTTCTTCTCTTCTCCATGATTATTCGTTATTCTGGTCATATATGGTTTATGTTTTGTGGATATTGCGAAAACATCTCTCTTGTCTTTCCATTTCAGAATCAAGATATTTCCACATCTTTGCCAAATATATTGTCCTCGTTTCAACTTCGCTCTGGTATCTTTGGTAGGCAGATTTTTTCTAGTCCTCAGTGTCCCAACTACGTGAGTCTTTTTCTCCAACAAATACACGCATAATCGAATACTAGTGTAGAAGTTATCAACAAAAAGTGTGCGACCTTTTCCTATGTAATCTTCCATAAGTTTACTGATTACTGCATGTGCATGGCCAACTGAATTGTCTACTGTACCTTTTCCACAATATATCATTATAGTCAATGCGAAACCATCTGGGGTGCATACTTCATAGAATTTTATGCTATATTTTGCCGCTTTGTTTGGAATATATTGACGGAAGGAGAGTCTTCCCCGCCAAAGCAGAAGAGCTTCATCAAGCGACAAATTTTGGGATGGATCGTAGATCGGTTTTATGTTGCCAAGTAAATACTGAAGTACCTTATCAGTTTTATGTAATCTGTGGGTTTGATTATCGCTGAAACCACAAAAGTATATACATTTCATAAGTAGTTCGAATCAATTCCTACTCATTTTTTGGCCAAATTTTGGATGATAATAAATTGGATTCTGGTGACAATAAGATTTGATACTGGGCATATGAACGTTCCCCATCAAAAGGCATTAAGCCAGAAAACATTTCATTTCAACTATACTTATTAGTATCTTCAAATTTGCGCAAAAAAGATTTTCTACGTCTGCATTCTCGCTTCAATTTATTGGCCCTATTCATTTGTCCAACTCACAATTTTATGGATCAAATCTTCATCAAATATTCGTAGAAACATATTAAAATTCGGCAGCTGATGGAATATCCTTTTGCAATGTAGTTATTCCAGTAAAAGGATAAATGAAAGGGTCAATTTCAGTATCAGTCCAATCACTATATCATTGTCGTCGTCTGAATTTTTGTTCCTATCATTTTCATCTTCCTCATCTGGGCCTTTATCAGCTACCTCCTCCTCACTTGAAGAGCCCGAGGGCTCATATTTGCTACCCGAATCCTGATAAGGTTCACAGTCAGATGCGTCACGATCATTCTCTCCCATATTCATATCATCCGTATCCATAACTTTGCCAGAATCATCCTGTTCGTCGTCTGCTTCCATAATTAGCTGCACCAGCTTTTTATCAGATAAGGGCCTGTTCCTGTCCATTTTTAAATATATTTATTTATCCTTGGAATGATATACTAAAAATTCTTGTACTTCATTTAGAAATATTTACCACAAAAGAAGGGTTCGAATTGACTTAGATTACACAAAAATAATGCAAGTGTTTTGAAATCTCCCAAAAATAGGTATTGATTATATTGTTACATATTTAGTAATCAATAGAAAATGGTAAATAGCAACGTAGGTACTTAAGTATCTTCTTATTTGATTTCTCAATTATCTAAAGACCAGTAAATTTTACGAATACTTCACAAGAATATTTTATTGCCACAAATTGATTTACTACTCCCCTAATAACCACGCCACTAGATGTATTTTGGAATAAGTTATCCATGAAAAAATAGTCCCTACTGAAAAATGTCATCCCCCAAATTTTATCACTGAATCTTTTATGCCAGTGATGTTACAGGAAAAATAAAATAAATATTTATTTTTTATAGGACAAAAGTTGATTATTTTCATCGGTAGAATATGCCATTAAAGTTTGGCAAAACTTATCATTAGCACCCTGTATAAGGACATTGATGTTTTAATTTTTTTTTCTTCAATATAAAAATTAATGTTGTTTAGTTGGTTTATTGTATTTATTTACTTACCACATTAAAAATAGTGCGTGTAACTTTGCTTGCCGCATTGTTCTAGGTAAATTATAATTATTAACATTAGCAGGTTATTTATAAATGTGATAAAGCATTATTTGCCTAACCGTATCATTTTAATAATCTAATCTTTTTTAAAAGTTTTTTATAGACCTGGTACCATTAGATTTTTTATTGTGGTTAATTCAACTGCTTTTATTTGCAGAGTGACTTGGAAAGAGGTCCAATATGCCTGAAAAAAGACTTTGGTCGAAGGTTGTTTTCATTTGGGCTGGAATTTCCTCGTGCGTGGTGTTTTGGAAGATAGCTCAATGTCATCGTGCTTCACCAGGAGTGTTTCCGGTAAACGACGTTTACACTTCGAATACCCAGAACTGTAGTAGATTTTCATACCCAATCGATCAACTTCCTGCGACAGACTACAATCGACTTATTAACATAGATTTTATTTTTTCTATACTTAATTTAGTTTGTAATGAATCCAAACCTTTACTGGTAATATTAGTCCATTCCTCGCCGGAAAACTTCGCTAAAAGGAAAACGATTAGAGAGACGTGGGGAAAAAACGAGGAAGATGTCAAAATCTTGTTTATGCTTGGGTCCGTTAATTCAAGTGACCTACAGAAAACTTTAGAGGATGAAAATAGATCGCATAACGACTTCATTCAGGGCAACTTTTTAGACACGTACCGAAATATTACTTACAAACATGTGATGGTTTTTAAGTACGTTATTTATCATTGCCCACAGGCCAAATATATCCTTAAGACAGACGATGACGTATTTGTTAACATACCAACGATGAAAAGATTTCTCACAGTGGATCTGTCACCTTATGGTGCTAATAAAGTATTGTTTTGTGTGCCAGTAATGAATGCGAGAGTTAAAAGGTCTTATCGCTCAAAATGGAGAATTCCATTTTCCGAATATCCAAGTGGGAATTACCCAACCTACTGTTCGGGTTGGACCATCCTCTATTCCCCAGATGTAATATTTGCTTTATATAAAGGGGCGCAAAATGCAGATTATTTTTGGATAGATGATGTTTACATAACGGGGAGGTTAATCGAAAAAGTCCAGTTAACTCACGTAGATATTGAACGTCTCGTGATACCTCCAAAAGAGTTAGGTTATATTGTTAAGGATTATTCTTACAATGTATCTAAGCCATTTCTATTTGGAGGAGCTGATCTAAAAGAAAAAGAAATTAGAGCCCTATGGAAGTTTGTTTCTACACATCCTGCGCCCAGATCTATATTCAAGAAACTTTAGTAAATAGTTTTTTCTATCAGATGAATGTCGTATGAATTTGACAAAAATTATCACGGAAATTCACAAGCTGTAATAAATTGCAACAAATAAGAACAACTGGAAATTCTGCCAAATTTTGTTGCCTTGATATTTGAAGAAATTACATTATTACCTACAGTATAAGTACCTGATTGTGAGAATTTCAGACTTTTTGTGTTTACCTGACGTAAGACGAAGGAGGAATTAGTAAAAATTAAGTAAAGTAAAGTTTTACAAAAATGTTATGTTATGTAAAGTTATGTTTATGCTTTATATTTGTAATTAAAAATAAACGAAAGTATATTCCTTTATATCTTGAAATTTCCGGAAAATGTGTAGCAGTTTTTGATTCAAAGTAGTCATAGTGGTAATTGAATTGAATTTAGTGAAGAAAAGCCTAAAAGAGCTTGAATATTTAATGACTAACCCAATGCCCTTTATTAAAGTGTGGAGTAAAAAGGGTTCAGCCTTAAAGTTACTATCATGGTCAAAGAAATTACTTATTACATGATTAGAGTTTCATATTATTGTTTTTTCATATATGACTTAATTTAATATCAGTCATATCAGTTAGAACTGGATTTGAATAATTGTATACTATACGCAATTAAGCAATATAAGTTTAAAACACACACAATGCACATGTGTATAGTGGGTTGCCGGGTTGCGGCAGTATTAATTTTGCTTTTTATTAGTAAATGGTGTATTAAATAACACAGGACCACAAAATAATGGGTGGAGGGTTCCTTGAACCAGGCCAAGTGGATTATATGTGTTTTTGGGTCGCTGAAACCGAATCCGAAACCTGTTTTGCCCCGTCACGTCAGCGTTTTTTTCTAACCTCAAAAAACAGCTTGAAACTATGAAACCCAACAATATCAACCCTTAAACCATATAACCCTATACTTTCATAACTCAATCGATATTGAGATCGATAACCTATAACTCTAAAACCCATAACCTGAAAAACTATAACCTCAAAACTCATAAATCTTAAATCCCAATAAACTGTAAACACAAAATGAGCAAAAATAAAAACAAAAAACTTACAAGCTAAACTCAAACCTCAATCTCGGAGAGTTTTAACTTCATAATTCTACACCTCCATTACTTCATAACCTCATAATCCATAAACTCCATAACCTCATAATCCATAAACTCCATAACCCTGAAGTATAACATAAGAAAATTGCATGTCACAATATATAGGGTTATGAAGTTTTGGGGCTAATTAATTTAAAACATGTACATACCTACAAAATCAAATTATGTTTTATCGACATAATATCCTGTTATTCATTTTTGTAGAAAGTGACAAGTACTAGACGTACGTTCTTAACGATTTGCGAATCTTAATGCACTGTGGGAGAAGTTACAGATGTCTTATAGCCATTTCTATAAAATATTCATTGAATATTAAATCTTAATAACAGGAAGAATTCAGTTTTGTGACACATTTCTTTTTATTACATATTGTACTAATAGTGAATTAATGTTGAGTATTAAACAAGAATTATAAAGAAAATCGATGATTTTTAAGATAGCACTTATCACAACTTATCCGAAAAAATTTGGAAAAATGGAGTCAAAATCCTTGATGTAAGTTGTAGAACTTAGATCGTTTTAATTTATGGTGAAGCAAGACAACATTTGTGTTATTGTCAAGCATTTGTGTTATAGTGAAGCAAGACAACGTTTGTGTTAGTTCATAGAAACTGGGAAAATAAATTTTATTAATTAATAATAACAATAACAGCAAAAACAGTTGAATTTGCTGGTATAAAATACTATAGTAGGATCGTATACGATGCAAAGTAGAGCAAAAAATTGTCGGCCTTTTATCATAGGAAAATCGTGTCATCATTTTTAGGAGGCGTAAGATAAATCTTTTCAAATTTAAAATGAAATTCAATGTAAAATCTGAAATACCGCTGCATACGCACTGTGTTCTGGTAGTAGCTGTAGTCGCCCAGGTGCATCGAGTGTACGAACTGGTCGGTTATACGTCAAATACTAACCTGGCGAGCTTGATCGTAGAGCAGGGAACAATAAACAGTGGCGCGTACAGAGGTGAAATGTAGTACATATGTGGAATTTAAATAACGAATTGGATTTATAATAAATTACATTTAAAACAAATAGTTTATGAGAATAAAGGGATTTTTGTAGGAACAGGGTTCCAGACGTGAACTGATCTCTTCATCGCACCCCATTACGATTCTTTTTTTTATAAGGAGAACGAAGTTTCAAAGCAAAAACCTTGTATAACAGATATACTATAAATATTTACAGAATGAAAACAAAATATAAATCCTATGATATGATTCTATCAAATGAAAACACTAACAACAATTCTCTACCAATCTCAACAAAATAAGTTATTTTTCTATCGAACAAGAAATGTTAACAAATTATAAAAAATATACAGGGTGTAACGTAAAGGTTGGGAATAAATTAAACGGTGGATTCTTTAGTATAAAAAATAAATTTTTGTCATATGAAGTTATGCTCTACGGGTTTTCTTTTTCAAGCTACAGGGCGCTAAAAAATTTCAAAAGATTTAGTTTTTCTCCAATAACTTTCGAACATTAGAAGATAATGGAATGAAATTTTATCCATAGCTTAATTTGATAATCGCCTAGTAACAGGAAAAATATTGGCTTTGTAAGTTACTCAGTGGCGTGCGTACGTATTACACCGTAAGGTTTTTCGAAGAAAATTGTGGTACGCCACTGGTAAAAACATTTTTTTAATATTTTTGTGTAATCTACATTTTATTTTAAACAAAATTACCCTCTTGTGTTTTATTCCTAGCTCTTGTCATTTTTCCGTAAATAAAACTTTTGCAAATACCATTTTTCCCGCTGCTAACATAGGAAAATGAAAATAACAAAAACATTATGATGTATGCTTTGACTCAGCTACCGAAAATGGTCAAACACGCATTAAAAAAGACTTGTTTGTTTTGAAAATGATATTAAAATATCACATTATTTTAACAATAATAAAAAAAACACTAGTGACTTGGAATTTAAAGAATTCATTGAGTAGGTAATAAGAAGTAATGAACAAGATTACAAAAGGTGCTGAAAATATTGCCCCCCCAACTTACAATACATTTTTCAATGCATTTTCTCATAAATTCTCTTACTCGTCCAAAAATACCAGGCATATCTCGAATTTGCTGACAGCCAATTTCAACTCTTTGACGAAGAATCTGTACATCAGAAATGGGAACGGAATAAACTATGTTTTTTAAGTGCCCCCTACACATAATAGTCTAATGGATTAAGTCCGGGAGAACGAGCAGGCCACGCTTTTGGCCCTCCACGACCTATCTATTTATTGGGGAACGTTTCATTGAGGGCGCCGTCATGCATAAACCACATGTTCTGGCGTGTTTCAATTGGAACTTCTTCTAATAAAGGTTGTAATCTGTTTGAAGGAAATCCAGATACGATAAACCGCCTAGTCTGTTTGGTAGTACTATGGGGCCAATAAAAAAAATCGCCAATTATTCCGGCCCAAATATTAATTGAAAATCGTTGCTGGTGCCGGGATTGTATTATTCCATGCGGATTTTCATCAGCCCACATATGACTATTGTGGAAATTAATTATACCATCCCTTGTAAATCCAGCTTCGTCGGTAAATAAAATGGATGGGTGGAATAACAAGTTCCGATTGCACTTATTTAAAAACCAGGTACAAAATCTAAGACGTGGTGCATAATCTTCGACAGAAAGCGCCTGAACTCTTTGCAGATTATCATGCAGGATTCGTTGGACAGTCATATGACTTACTCTCTCCATTCTTCCAATTCTTCTAGTACCTACTTGATTTACGATTCACCTCGATCATCTGAAGGATGTGGTACTTCAAGTTGTACTGTCCTTACATTTCGAGATCTTCCGCCGGAGGTGCAAGGTTTTAACGAGCCGGTTTCACGTAAGCGCACATGAATTCTCGAAAAAGTCTTCCTATTTGGAATACACCGAGCTGGAAAACGTTCAACATAAAGACGCACAGCTAACATAGTATTCCCCTTGGCAAGGCTGTAAATAAAATGCATATCTGCTAATTCTGGAAATGAGTATTCCATTTCTAACAGATCTAAACCAAAGTACAACCGCTTAAGGAAAGCTAGATGTCATGACTGACAATGATGTTTTGTCTGAAAACATCTGAAAACAAATTTTGGTGGCTTGGTCAAAGCATACTTATAATGTTTTTATTTTCATTTTCCTATGTTAGCAATAGGAAAAAATGGTATTTACAAAACGTTTATTTACGGAAAAGTGACAAGAGCTAGGAATAAAACGCAAGAGGGTAATTTTGTTTAAAATAAAATGTAGATTACACAAAAATATTAAAAAAATGTTTTTACCAGTGGCGTACCACAATTTTCTTCGAAAAACCTTACGGTATAATACGTACGCACGCCACTGAGTAACTTACAAAGCCAATCTTTTTCCTGTTACTAGGGGATTATCAAATTAAGCTATGGATAAAATTTCATTCCATTATCTTCTAATGTTCGAAAGTTATTGGAGAAAAACTAAATTTTTTGAAATTTTTTAGCGCCCTGTAGCTTGGAAAAGAAAACCCGTAGAGCATAACTTCATATGACAAAATTTTATTTTTTAAACTAAAGAATCCACCGTTTAATTTATTCCCAACCTTTACGTTACACCCTGTATAAGTGTTATAAAATTTTTATTTATTTCTTTCCTTGGGAAAAAAATTCTTTCAGTTTTTTGTCCGTTCATGCTGCATGCTTTGCCTTGCACAAGGTCAGGTTTTATAGTGACCAGTTTCCAGTGCTGTGCAGAAGTGTATTTTACTGCCTTTTTAGATTTTTTTTACAAAATTGTATTTGTAAGAGTACCCCGTACATTCAAAATTTTTTCTCGGATAAGTTCTGAATCACCCTGTATATCTATAGCTAGCGACAAACAGATACGTGATACTCGACATAACAACTCGAGGAACTTCAAATATCAATAATGTCATTTCTCAACTAAAATAATGGTGTCCACCTAACGCTTCGTTGACGTCATCTTCGTTGTTTTAAATGGAACACCCTGTATATTATTGCAATTTTGGATTCTACGTCAATTTTCAGCTGAACTTTCATAAAGGTTTCCTATTCTTAAAGTTAACCGTTTTTGATATATTTAATTTTTTTCAAAAAAAAAAAATTAAAAAAGCACTACTTAAATCAAAAAGATGTGTATTTTACAATTATAAAGATAGAGCGATAAAATTTATAGGGGACATAACTAAAACTCAAAGCTTTCCTGCCATAACTTCAAAATGATTTAATTTCACACAGGGTGGTAGAAATTTAATGTTGAATTTAAGCAAATTTAAACCATCTTAACTTATTTTTTTTAAATGGAACACTGTATGTTTTTGCGCAACTTGATGAACAATTCTGTTCTCTTTCGAATGGTATAATATGCCTTCTAGTTTTTAAGGTATTTACAGTTTTTCGTGCAGTCAACGGATAACGCATAATTTCTTGCGTGGATGGCTGTGAAATTTTTAGTGAAAATAGTGAATTCAAATGCTGGCATTCTAAATTTATTATTTATTCATGGAGAGTGTCACAAGATAATAAATACAACTTCCAGAGTATCTAATGAGAGATGCACTCATTGACTGCCAATCAGTAGGGATAAAGAAAAGTGATAATAAATCTGAAGAAAGTTTCGTAAATATATAAATAGATATCGAAAATATGGATATAGCATATTCGAATTTAATCATTTATTTCTAATTATTTCTTAGATAGTAATGTTATTATTCCTATTTTACGCTATAGATCAGATTTTTCTCTTAGTAGCATAAAACTAAAAAACCAATATAATATTAAGAGATCGACTTGATGCAAAACCGTCGTGAGTTTAAACTCATCTAATGCCCATTATCTTTACCAAACGAATGTGAAGAGGCAAGTTAAAGATAAACTACAATTGAATTATTGGAACAAATATACGCTAAGTGCTAAAATCTTCGATGTTTAGACATGTTGCGTGTCTCACGCTAGATCACAGTTTTAGTCCAATACACGCGAGGAATACACCAAAACATAACTTTTTCTATTATTCTTCGTTTAAAGATTTATTTACTAATTGTTATATATTTTTATATTTCCAGTGTTGCAAAATAAAAAAAAGAAAAATTGTCGTTCTTTATAATTCATATCCAATGCTTGCTAGGGATATTTCATTCTAATTTCTTTTTATTGCCTTAAGCTTTAAATCAATCAATATTTCTGAATAAGAAGTATTTTCAGAAAACACAATAACTCATAAATCCCATTTCTATTTATGGATAATTTTCACCGAATGGGTTCTAATTTTGTTGAAAAATTGCTCGTAATCGGTGTTTGCAATTAGTGAGTACCGGTTAAATATTTATGAGTAGGTACTTATATCTGTTTATTTTGCTTTCAATTTAGAAATTAAATATTCCTGCGTCGAGATATTTTTGGCCGATTGGCATGCTTCATAAATTAAATTAGGTTCCATTTTAATAACATATTAAGTGTTTATGGAGGTACACTTATGTAGATGTTTAGAATCGATTTCTCGAACGAGTATGATGAGCAGGAAAAAAATAGATTCAAGTAAATCTGAATTTTAGCTGTTGAAGATCTAAACAGCTATTACATAGATTTTCGCGAATATGAAGAGTAATTTGTCTAATGAATATTCATTACCAATTTTTGTATATTAGGTTTCTATATAGATATATGAAGTCGTAGAGTTTTTGCCAAGTGCTGTGGAAAGAAACAGAAGTCGCTTGTAGAGTCCGAAATAACTCAGAATACAATCCGATACATATCTCACCACATGGAGCCTGTCTCGGCAAATATACAGACAGCTCCGGCTAAAAATCGAAATTTTCATGCATCTTTCGAATCCAACCGTCGCACATCAGTCGTGTACCCGGAAATCCAAACGCTCCCAGTGTGGCTACAAAGCCACATCATACTATTCAATAGAGCTCGATACTGCTGACAACACTACCGACGACAACGCGCGGGGTGTGCAAGAAAAACACCGATGTTTCGAATCCAAGGCAAGAACATAGCCTTGAAAAACTCACAGCACAATCTGGCAGTAAAGCACATGTCTCACCGCACGAAGCTTGTCGGACAGAACAGTAGTTAGAGTCGCCCGGAAATCGAAATTTTCACGATGATGAAAAATTATTATTACTATAACAATAGTTATTATTTGTGTCGTTTTGTTTATTCATTTGGCAGTTAGCGTTAAGGTGCTAAATAAAAAATGCATTTATTTATACAACTGAAGAGTATGCAGATATTATCTTTGTATAACGGGAACGCCAGACAAGCAGCCCGAGAATACCAATGAGGATACCCAAATAGACATCTACCTGCCCATACAGTCTCTATTGCACCATCTTGTAGACTTTGAGAAGGTAACCCCGCTCCAAAAAAGTCCATTCGTCCTAAAGAAGTGAATGTACAAAATGAAGATATAATAGATTCTGTCATTGACAACTCCTCAATAAGTGTTTGGCGTATAATAAGTAATCTTCATTTATCACCGAATTTTGTATGGCGTGTATTGAACAAAGAAATGTTACATCCGTTTTATCGACAAAATGTACAAGCGTAACATGCTGGAGATGCTCCTCAGCGAATTTTGTCATGGTTATTTTAACAACATACACAAAATGATAGATCGCATGCAATTAAAACTTAATTTCTCCGACGACGTCTTAGAGAGAGCAGTTCCATCTAGACTTCCTTGTGATGAGGGTTAAATACCCGGTTGGTATCATGGTATGGACTGTGATTTCAGCCAAGGGCATAAGGCGCCTATAAATCGTGGAGGGGATCATGAGGCAGGATCCATACAAGCGAGTACTAAAAACCTGGCTACTGCCACAAATCGAAGAATGATTATCTGATGATGCAGAGTGTATTTTTATGCACGATTCGGTACCTTGCCACAAAGTCAGGACTGTTGTTGCATTCTAGGCCGACAGAACATTACCATTTTTCCCTGACCGAGCATGAACCCTATGGGAACTCACCAAACGGGTGATTGCTAATGAGGTTATCACCACCAAGCACCAATTGGTTGAAACTCTCATCAGAGAACGGCATCACAACGTCGAAATCCAACAGAAATCTGTATAGAAAGCATGTCTCGAGGCATAAGAGCTCTAATTACGGCAGAGGGTGCATCGCTAAATACTAAGATTAATTTTTTCAAATTTCCATTGATGCACACATACGAGTATAACTTTTACGAAAAAAATTAATAGTTTCGGCCACGTAACTTGTTGTTTTCAAGATCTTAATAATACACTCTTTTGAATAACAAATAGCTACAAGCTATAGAACCAACTGTTTATTCAAAAAATTAAGATAAACTAGAAAATAGAAGAAACTGAGTACTGTCCCTAATAATTTGGCCACCCACTGTATATCGAAGTAAAGTCAAAATTAGGGATTTTTCTTATATTATGTCCTAATTTTTTTCAATATACCTGATCAAAGATCTATAATCAAAGATGGTTGAATTAAGCCGTCTGTTTTTTCCTCAAGCATGCAGTGGGGCCAATACATTTGAAACGTGAAACCAATCGACGAGAATCAAATTATGTCATTGGTAGGGTCGCAGGAAATCGGTTTTAGCTGTCGCTTAGTAAACTCTGTATCGATTCCCACTGTCCACTTTAGAAGAAATCGTTTTGTAAATATAAATTTTTTATGGGCGCAAAACGTTGTCATTTCTTGTCGTCCTAAATAGACTCCTTCCGTTGCTAAGGACGCGACTATTTCTAATCACGGGCTTGCGCCGTTTCCTAACCAAGAAATTACGTGGCTAATACAAGCGCAACGGCGACGCGTGCACGTTGACAATTTTCTCTGGCAAAACAAACCTTATTAACGCAGCAGATACCGAACCAAGTAATTATTACGAGTATATGTTCGACGATTGTAAATTTTCGGTAGAATAACAATTTGCTACGCTGGGCCTGCGACCTGTTAACAAAGTAAGTCGTGTTTGATTTTATTTTGATTGCTGTTTTTAATGTGCACTGATTTAAATTTCCTGGCTGTCTGCAATGTTTACTCTTAATACGCGCGCCCGTTGGCGATAAAACTGATTTATTTTCGTCGTACCTTATTGGGAAAGGCAGTTATTTATGTCACTTTTTTTCCGCAAAGTGAAGCGCTGCAAATATGATAAGTATACATTTACATATTGAAATGCGACGAATCCCGAAGAACGCAAATGTTAATAGTATGAGTTATTTCATTTTTAAAAATTTGCAAATGCGATAATAATTTGTCTATGGCTGTTTAAATAAATTTAAATAAGTGTGCATGCTAACAGATACGTATTTACATTTTATTTCGTGTTTTTACTAATTTTTTTGACTATTTAAAAAAGTGCCTCTTGCATCGTGAACAGATTCTTTCATTAACAAAAAAAAATGTATTTCAAGTTATATTTCTCTTTATAACAATTCGACTATTTCGATCGACTTGCAAATATATCTTAAAAGTAATATACAGGGTGGTCCCGAGGTAATGGGCCAAAATTCATGGGTAGATTCCCCAAGCAAAAATATTGCGATTTAGCCGAACTTACCTTAGTTCAAAAGTTGATAGGTAAAGAGATACAGGGTGTTAAATGTTAAATATTAATTCTGTTTTTTTTTCATTTATTCTTTAACAAATGCAAATATCAACACAAAATTTTGGGTTTTGGGTAGAGGAACTGAAATTTGTTCACATTTTGGTTAAAGTTCATAGAGGGCGCTAGCTGCAGTAGATTGAATGTGTTAAAAACGACATAACTTTTTTATACTTTAAGGTATGTCACCTTTGGTATCAAATTCTTATTTTTCAACTTTTTTTAAACAAAAAGTTATACTTTGTGAAAGTAGCTATCTCGCACCGTTTTCTAGATATTTGGCTTTGAAACTTCCAATGCATTAAATTACAATTAAGTACCCACAGGTATTATTAATTTAGCGGTAAAATTTCTTAAGCAGGATTTGGACGAAAATCAAATAATTTAAATTGTATTGTATACATAAATGTGAGATAGAATGCCGAGACTTTCATTTTGGGGTTACATGAAATCATTTGTTTATGGAGAAACTATAAACACCTGAGAAGAACTTTGACAGTAGGTTTTAAATGCTGCAAAGTCATTTCGTGTTAAGGATTTATACTTTAAAATAAGACAGTCTTTTAATAAACGCGTTGATAAATGTATTGAAATTAGAGCTGGACAGTTTGAATTATTGTCAATATTACATATTTTTATTAATGTTTACAATTTTAGTGTTCATTACAATTTTTAATTCTAAATAAACCTTGTTTTTAACATTTTTAAATTATTTTAATTATTTCAACTATTAGCATTGGAAGTTTAAAAGCCAAATATCTAGAAAACGGTGCGAGATAGCTACCTTTTTTGTGTAAAATAGCTGGAAAATAAGAATTTGATACCAAAGATGAGATACTTTAAAGTATAAAAAAGTTATGTCGTTTTTAACACATTCAATCTACTGCAGCTAGCGCCCTCTATGAACTATAAACAAAATGTGAACAAATTTCAATTCCTCTACCCAAAGAACCCCAAACCCCAAAATTTTGAGTGGATATTTGCATTATTAACAAATAAATGGAAATAAAGTAAAATTATATTTTACATTTAACACCCTGTATCTCTTTAACCATCAACTTTTGGACTAAGGTAAGTTCGGCTAAATCGCAATATTTTTGCTTCGATAATCTACCTATGAATTTTGGCCCATTACCTCGGGACCAGACCAGACCTATATAGAGTGTACTTGTCTTACGATGATTTTAGGAAGGATATATACAGGGTGGTTCTATTTTAATGAGCAGGACTTCGGTAACGTATAGAGAAGGTCATTTCAAGCTAGTAATAAATAATTGTCCAAAATAAAAACTAAAAATTGTGTATCTAAATATAACTAATACGAAAATAACACCCTAATATATTGAAATTTTTAAATAATGTAAAAAAATACACTGTGTTTTCGTTGTTTTTTGTCAAAATAGTTTCAGTATGTATCTTTTCTCTTTATTAATTATATTTTTGCATGTTCAGTCTTTATTTTAGATAACTATACAGGGTGTTTCAGTTCGGGCGAATCAAACTTTAACCACAAACAGAACTCAAGAAATAATTTACAATTGCCTTATATTCAAGGGTCTAAGTCTCACCGTTTTCACTGTACAGAGCCGTATTGGTTTGTGTTTAAAATTATATTATTTATGAACTGTTTGGTATGCTTATAACAAATTCATTCAACTTTGGTGTGGTGGTAACATTTACACATGTGCATGATTTATTGTAAAATTTACAAATTTTTATAGGTCAGTAGCGCAGGAATAGGTAGTAAAGTGGGATTTTTTTACCCCAACTTCTATGCCAATGACCTAATAATCATTTGGCATTCATTTTTAGATTCCGTGATTGAAAATCATTACCTACTTACTGTTTTATTGAAAATCTCAGTTGAATGGTGTGAGGGTATGTTTATGTTATTACATAACCATAAAAATTTCAACATTGTGAAAATATGTCTTGTATTGTTTCTATAAAATGCGATTCAATTATGTTATGCATAATGAATTTTTTAAATCGTTTTTGACGAAAGAAATAAACAGCAGAACTTTTAAGAAAATATTTGAAAACCAAAATACACCATTTTAAGCAAATTTATTCTTTTTTAAGTGACTGTTTCCTTCATCATGTTTATGACCAATCAAATATCACTTTTGACTAATTATGGGTCAGTTACGTCATTATTGTATTAACAAAACTCGAATCCACTAAATTTTTTGTCAGCCATAATGTTGTCTTGATAATAATTTGTAGTTAAATCTCTTAGAGTTATACGGCTAGAAAATTGTTATGAAATACAAGAATACACGGATACAATATATACAGGGTGTGCCACATTAACGTGTACAACGGAAGACCACAAATTCGTGGACTCAAAATAGGCAGATTTAGGCTAATTCACCTATATCCGAAATCGCTTCATTTAGTCGCTAGATGACCTCAAAGTTCGTGAATCTTTTTTGAATTTTGTAAATAACTCGAATATGTATTAATCGATTTTGATTATTTTTGGGGTGTGGACTTATGCTTTCAATCTACAAATTTCGGTGTTATACAGAGTGTTTTTTAAAACTCTTACCAAATTGATGTATGGTGATAATAACCGTTCATAACTTTTTCTTCCGTCGGACAATAATGAGAACTATTTTTTATTTGATAGGTGATACCATTTGGAACATTTTGGGCCTCTTAGAGAATTTTGATTAAATGAGCAGTTTGGGACAAAAAATGTTTTTTAAATGTCTACATTATCTTGCGACCCATATTGCCATACTTAACAAAGTGCTAGTAGTCAGTAGTCACTGATTTTCTAGGCTGACTGTAATTTCAGTTTCAGTTCAATTTCAGTCAACCTATAAAATCAGAACCTACTGGCACTTTGTTAAGCATTGTAGTATGAGTTGCAAGATAATGTATACAAAAATATTTTTTTGTACTCAAACTACTAATTTAATCAAAATTTTACAAGTGACCCAATAACTTCCAAATGGTATCACCTATCAAATAAAAAATAGTTGTCATTATTGCCCGAAAGAGGAAAAAGTTATATTCTCACCATATAGGTGAATTAGCCTAAATCTGCATATTTTGAGTCCACGAATCTAATTAGTAGGTATCTGATATATTTTCATATTTTTTAGGTTAAAACAAAAATAAGTAAAATTTCTTCGAGTATTTGTTGACAGCACGTAGCAATTACAGCATAAAATAAAGCAATGTTTTCTGATTTTTTTTTTCTCTCAAAATTGTTAGTATACCAATGATAAGCGTCGAATATGTCACCGCGTTGTATATTTTCTGAAAAACCTGTGTAGATTAAAATTATATTATTTAACAACAGTACGAGATAAGCACAATATTTTCCTTACTTGCAGGATAACGTAAAATATGTACATAAAATAAAAGTACGAGTTCGAAAATAGAGAACGTTAAATATTACTTCAAAAGTAACAAAAAGTATGATAGTACATAAATACTTTTCTGGAGGATTTCCAAAAAATTGCTGCATTGCCAGTACTTATACTTGAAAGTTAATATGAAACAAATGACTTCAAAAAAATAACTTTTTTTAAATAAATCCACTTCAAATTTAAAAAAATATTTTGACCATCTTTACTATATGTATTTTATATTTGAAAAAAATACCTGTAAAAAGGTCCAACTAATTTTAAAATATATTTTTTCCGCAGCTATAGTAAATCGATTTTACGTCAAAAGTTATTTTTTTTAAGAAATAATAAACTTTTTGTAATGATCACAATGTCAAGGGCATGTCTGGGGCGTATAAATTACGAAATTGTGCTCTCATCTGTCGCGCTCGGATAATCTTCCTAACATTAATTTTTATTTATAGATCTAAATTTAAAGGCGTATTATAATATGGGACAAACATCAGAACTAGAACAACTAATACCCTTGAACCAAATATTCCAAACTGACGGAAGGGCATTATTTTCTCTTCTAAAATTCCTAATGCTTCTATGGCTTGTATGAAAATTAATTTTTAATATGAATGCACATACAGAGATAAACGTTTTATTATTTCAAAATTATTTTCAGGAGCAACGAGTGCACAATTATAAATAACCAAACAGCCTCGAAATTTTCGTTATAAATATTATCATTTTAAACAGAGAATAACAAAATATTTAATTAAAATCTTAATGAAACTTGTCTTCGGCAAAAATATTTCCAATATGTTTTATATCGATATAAATATCATTTTTTCTTTTTAATATATTTTTTATGTTACTTCACATCTTTGGTTTATCGTCCAAATGATGATCCATATCGCTAATTAACTGAAATTTTAGTCGAGTTTCAAACATAGGGTGTCCGAAATCTATGAACCAAAACATTAGAGTTTATTGTACTCATAAA